TCATTGCCAATAAAGTTATTGAAATTGAAATATACCATCAGTTTGAGAGTTTGTATCAAAAAGACAGGTGACAAGGTTGCAGGTAATGACAGAGTCAAGCTGTTTCCACAGCAAAGGGCTGTTCCTCGCTTCCCCATCTGCCAAAATTGACTTCATTTCTTAGATTTGGCATTTCTGAACCAATATGTTCTTCTGGAGCAGGGATTAAAAATCCAACATCACAAAACCAATTGGTTGTACCGGCAGCAATATTAAAGACTGTGGAGAAAGAGCGCAACAAATTTCTACTATTTGGCTGAAATAGAACCAGCAAAGAGAAAGGAAATTCTATCAGATGTATATATACATATGTAAATGTATGTATATATATTAAATTCCAGATCTGATACTTACTATATGTAGTGTGTACCTGACTTTTTTCTTAATGTTTGTGAAAAACAGTTCCAAAAGAACCGCCTACTCCCACTGCGCATGTGAGCGTTGCCTTCTCTGATCAGGGGTTGGCAGCCCCGCCCTCAGAACACACCTGGGCGCAGCCTTCATACTGCAAGGTCCAGGTGCAGAGGCACCGGGATGCACGTGACACCTTGCGAAGGGCAGAGCTGGAGAAGGGGCCAATAAGGATGAATGCACAGACAGACGAAGCCACGGAGGAGCAGGGACGAGCCCAGGGCAGCTTTTGCTGGAGGGACAGGGGAAGTGTCACAGGGGGCGGGTGGAGCTGCTGGGGAGGATAAGGTAGCATGTGGGATTTGAAGGTGGGGAAGGTTCCGTCGTTTTCCTGAACACCTAACAGGGATGCTGTGGCCTTTATGGGCGGGCCGGGATCTCAGACACAATAATCCATTCCATCCCCCGCAGTGCCTTTCAGCCGCTCTGTTTCAGCGCGGGGAGGAAGGAGGCCTGTGCCCTGGCTGAAGGCCGCACGGGGCTCGCGGCCCGATTGCCATGAAGTCTCCCTCCTCCACGTGGCAATCGCTGCTGCTCTTCGGCTCCCCGCCACGCAGCTGCCCCGACTGTGCCTCCGCTGGTCCCTGACTCTGCCCGCCTTTGTCCCCTCCCGGCTTCAATCGGGGTCCGGCAGATGGTCTTCATGCCTGATCTTGAGGATGGGAAAGGGAGACAGACATTCCTTACCTTCTCTTTCCTGTCTACTTAGCGCCAAACATATTCCCAGTCGAAGATGAGAGCTGCTACCTGAAAAGCAAGTTTTCGAGCAAAAGGCCACCAGAATCCCCGCTGACCAGACCTTAGGAGGACGGTGGAGTCCTGGAGAGCTAGATGCCCCTGTGCAGCTGCAGGGACCCCAGCTGTGTCCCCCTGTCCCTCAAAGCTCTCCTGGGCCGCATTTTCCCCTCTCACGTCTGACTCACGGGGCCAGTCACAGCCTGGCCTCCTCTCCCCAAGAAAACCTGGCAGGATCTCACCACTGTACTGGAAACAAAAGCCTGGACGGGAGATGTAGGGGTACAAGGAAATGCCAGCTTAAGTGGAAGGAAATGGAGGTCAAAAGCTTTGCCAAGTGGGGCTTTGCTATACTATGTCATCTACTTTTGAGTATATTTAAAGTTTACCGTAATAAAAAGATTTTTAAAGTTGGCAAAACAAAAAGGGGACAGGAACAAAGAGAGAAAGATAAAAGAAAGAAATGAAAAAGAAAGGAAGGAAGGAAAGAAAAAAGAAAGAGGGAAGGAAAGAAGGAAGGGGAAAGGAGGGAAGGAAGGAGGGAGGGAGGAAGGAGGGAGGAAGGCAAAGAGGGGAGGAAAGGAGGGAGGGAGGGAGGAGGGCTTTGGAAACACACCAGACACTGGTACTTCCCAGCCTCCCGAGGCTGCCCCAGCGCGCCCCCTGGTGTTTGCACATAGAGTTGTCCTATTTGGAGAGCTGAGACAAAGGTTCCTTCCCTCATCCTCACAGGTCATCAACCACTGAAGCTCAATTTTTAGAAGTTCATTCTTCATCTACCGGGAAAGGAGAACAAGTGGGATTTTGTGTGAAATTGTCTGTACCTCAACTGGTGTAGTGTGGGGGCGGGGGGATGGTTTTCCTTTTCCCCCGTGCTTGTCAATGTCGCAGATATGAAGTCATCCTCCCCAAGCCGCCATCCTCACCACAGACCCGTCCTTCCCTTGGAGTATCAGTTTCCATTCTCGGCTCCACAGGCCACTACTTTGCTGAACTGGAGCTCATCGTGACTGCATCTGAACTTCCCTTTCATAATTTCCCTGCCTTCTTGCCAGGCGTGAGGGTGCCGAGAGAGCCCACACGGAAGGCTTTGGAAAACCTTGCAGTAAAGGCGGTGCATGGGTAGCCACGTGTCCGCTTTGCTTAAAGTACCTTCTGTCTTTTGCGTGGACACAGCTTACTGAGGACCCTTCCAGTACACAGCTAGTCACGCATGGCACACAGCAGCACACAGCCTTTCCTTAGTTGATTAATCACACTTCACTTAGAGATGATTATTTACCTCCTGACACTTGTATAGCCTCCCAGGTCCAGGGTGAGATCATTTGGAAAGGAACTAAAACAAATACCTTGAAATGGTTCAGTTCTTAGCTTGCTTCTTTCGCAGCCTTAAATTTGTATTGTGGCACCCCATGAAAACCGCTGTAGATGGTGGGTGCCATTACTCCAAGAACAGCAGCAGAACATTTCTTGTTCACTTATTACCTTTGACTTTGATCTTAGTGCCCTGGTCCCTTGTAATAAAAGCATTGTTGATTCAGATATTAACAATGGGACTGTGACCAAAATGCTAAATTAAAATATCTAAGACGGGTTGTTGCCCACAAGCCAAAATAATTTTAATCAGATTCAACCTCAAGACACACACATTAAAAAAAAAATACCTTGCACTATTTGTTTGTTTCGTTAAGCATGAAATTGCTCTCTGTAATTATCATTGTGGGGAAAATCTAAGTTTATAGCATAGAGTGCAGATGAGGAATTCTCTAACAGCTAAGATTGAAGGCACTCAGATGCACAAGGGTGTGTTTTTTCTCAGTGGTCCTTTATTCTGTGCTCCAAGAGGAGGTTAATCCATTAGAGCTTCCTACATACATGTCATGGTTCCTGCCATCAACACATTTGCAGTTTAATCCAAGAGACAGAAACCCCTAAACTGGAAACAGTAAGGGAGATGGACTTAATCTCTTAATGACCTTCTTTTACCAAGCATTGCACATTATATTTAGCAACTCTGGGGGTAAATATGTAATTACCTCCATTTCACAGACCAGAAAACTGAGATGAAGAAGGGTCATAATATTGGTCTGCATGAGAGATAATTCCCACTTATAAATTAACATACCAGTTTTCTGATTTTTATAGCTCAGAAAAAGTTTGGATACCAGTGCCCACCACTGAGAGATGAGCCCATTCTGGGTGTGTTTGGGAAGGAAAGGCTCTTGATCTGGAAGACCAAGGATTGGTTGGGTCTAAACTGAGGTAGCATCACCAAGACATTGTCACTCCCAGATCCTCTGGGCCTGGTCTGAGGCCTCCTAGCTTCTTACATTGCCCGCATTTCCCTCGGTGTGAGATATCTGTAACAATGACCACAAGGAATTTGGAAAAAGAGAAGTTTCTTACAAGCAGAAGTGCATCCAACAGCCAGATGTCCCAGGTGGATAAATGGTGCAGGCTGGATTTCATCTAGCCCAGGAGATGTGACTGCACACCTGAGCTACTGAACACATTCTTGCCACATCAGTGAGACAAAATTAGAATTAACAATATATTTACCTTTTTGAAAGTGAAAGCAAGTTTATTAAGAAAGTAAAGGAATAAAACCTCATTTCATCCTCTTTTTTTCTTTTTTTTAGAGAGGGGGGTCTCACTCTGTCACCCAGGCTGGAGTACAGTGACATCTTCTTAGCTCACTATAGCCTCAAACTTCTGTACTCAAGCGATCCTCCTGCCTCAGCCTTCTGAGTAGCAGGGACTATAGATACAAGTCTGGCTCATTTTTTTGTAGAGATGGGATCTCTCTGTGTTGCCCAGGCAGGTCTTGAACTCCTTGCCTCAAGCAATCCTCCCACCTCTGCCTCTCAAAGTGCTGAGATTATCAGCATGAGCCATTGCACCCAGCTAACATTGTATTTTAAAAGACCTTACCTTTGGGGAAAGTTCCCTTCTCCCCATCTGTGCTTCCAAAAGTAATACTAAAGCAGAACCACGGTTATCCAAGATGTAACCATTAGGGTAAACTGGGTGAGGCGCATACAGGAATTCACCATATTGCTTATTATTAGAACTCCATGTGAATTTACATTTATCCACGTGAATTTACACTTAAACACACTTACATTTCTTTTAAAAAAATAAAACTTAAAAATGTATACTTAAAATTTGCTAAGAGAGGAGATCTTAGGTGAAGCGTTCTTACCACAAAACCAAATGATAATACTAGAAAAGTGGCAGGAGAGAGCTTTGGCAGGGGGGGCTGGGTATGTTTTTGGCCTTGGTGGTGATGGGGTCATGGTATATTGAGATGTAAATTTATACAGCTTTTGACATGTCAGTCATTCATAGAGTGGTTTGTTTTGTTTTGTTTTTTTAAACTAAGCAAATATTATAGCAGCAGCATTAACTATCACTTGTTCATCTACTCAACAAGTATTTATTGGACACTTACTGCATGCCAGGCACTGTTGTCAGTACCCAGAGATAGCAGAGAATGAAGGCAAAGCCTTCCCCTTGTGGAGCTGGATTCTAGTGTTAGTTGGCTAGATCCAGGCTTCATTCCGACAGGCTGCTGAAAACTCAAGTTATTACGTAAATGCTAACTACAAAGTATTGACTTCCTCAGTTCCCTCAGAGAGCCGATTAGGTTTTTCTGGGCTGCTTGACACGACTCAGACAATATTTGTGATACCAAGCTTTGTCCCAAGTGGTAAATAAACTTAAACACCTGTAAAGTTTAAACGCGTGCTCTCCTCAATGCGTTTGGAAACTCTAACTCCCTGCTCTTTTGTACTTTTGTTTACTCTCCACTACAGAGCGTCCAAGCACGAAGCTGTGCACACAGTCGCTCGAGGCAGAAATGCTTAGGATGTGATCCATGAATCGCAAATTCCAGCTAGTGCTCCCAAAGACAGACGTTTCTCCACAAAACCATTCCAGTGCCCCAGAGGTCCACAGACATCCAGGAAGATGCAGCCAGCAGATAAAGAATGGCAGCCACCCAAGCGCTGAGGGGAGCCCCCCTGGCGATTTCTGTCCCGGCTCCAAGGGTCTCCCCACGATGGCCTGCAACAGCACATCCCTCGAGGCTTACCCATACCTGCTGCTAAACACCAGCAAGGCCTCGGACTCCGGGCCCACCCCTCTGTTCGTACCCCTCAGGATCTCCTTGGCCATAGTGATGCTGCTGATGACCGTGGTGGGGTTCCTGGGCAACACGGTGGTCTGCATCATCGTGTACCAGAGGCCGGCTATGCGCTCGGCCATCAACCTGCTGCTGGCCACTCTGGCCTTCTCCGACATCATGCTGTCCCTCTGCTGCATGCCCTTCACTGCCATCACCCTCATCACCGTGCACTGGCACTTTGGGGACCACTTCTGCCGCCTCTCAGCCACGCTCTACTGGTTTTTTGTCCTGGAGGGCGTGGCCATCCTGCTCATCATCAGCGTGGACCGCTTCCTCATCATCGTCCAGCGCCAGGACAAACTGAACCCGCGCAGGGCCAAGGTGATCATCGCGGTCTCCTGGGTGCTGTCCTTCTGCATCGCGGGGCCCTCGCTCACGGGCTGGACGTTGGTGGAGGTGCCGGCCCGGGCCCCGCAATGCGTGCTGGGCTACACGGAGCTCCCCGCCGACCGCGCCTACGTGGTCACCCTGGTCGTGGCCGTGTTCTTTGCACCCTTTGGCGTCATGCTGTGCGCCTACATGTGCATCCTCAACACGGTCCGCAAGAACGCTGTTCGCGTGCACAACCAGTCGGACAGCCTGGACTTGCGACAGCTCACTAGGGCGGGCCTGCGGCGCCTGCAGCGGCAGCAGCAGGTCAGCGTGGACTTGAGCTTCAAGACCAAGGCCTTCACCACCATCCTGATCCTCTTCGTGGGCTTCTCCCTCTGCTGGCTGCCCCACTCCATCTACAGCCTTCTGTCTGTGTTCAGCCAGCGCTTTTACTGCGGCTCCTCCTTCTATGCCACCAGCACCTGCATCCTGTGGCTCAGTTACCTCAAGTCCGTCTTCAATCCCATCGTCTACTGCTGGAGAATCAAAAAATTCCGTGAGGCCTGCATAGAGTTGCTGCCCCAGACCTTCCAAATCCTCCCCAAAGTGCCTGAGCGGATCCGAAGGAGAATCCAGCCGAGCACAGTCTACGTGTGCAACGAAAACCAGTCTGCGGTTTAGGGGGCCAGGAGGCCGCAGAGAAAGGGCAGCTGAGCCCAGGTCCCAGGGTGGGCTGGTCTGTCCTGCTCTTTTCCCTGGCATGTTGGTTATAGTCTATACTTTGTGGTGGCTATTTAAGCACAAAGGTACTCGTTTGTAATCAGATGAGCTGCAGCTTCCAAATTTCAAATTTTGGCAAGATGAATTATTTTTGTTTCTCTTTGCAGAAGAGCTGAATATGGGGCTGATGGGAACTGCGAAGTCCTTAAGGCAAAAATGGAGTGGGCTGGGGAGAGCAGCAGTTGGGCGGAAAGGGAAGAGGAGGGCACAGGGAGTGAAGCTGGTTCAGTGTGGGGCAGGAGGAGGCGTCGATCACAAGAGCTTCATCCTGCCCTCTGAGCCCTCTCTGCACCTGCTCAAGAGAAACCCCAGTAGGTGTCAGCTCCTGGTTCATTCATTTTGTCTGACACCAGAGCGCTCCAGTTATGATGTTTGTGGTGTGTGGGAATGCACAGGTTTCTCTATGTTGGTCAGATGTGCATTTCTGGCCATGCCTAAGTTTTCTGGAAACAAACCAAAATCACATGGGGAAGTGGAGTGAGCCTCTGTGCTTTGAGCTCCCTGGGATGATGCATGAGGGCCTCAGAGGCTCAAAGCCCAGAGAAGGTCCCGGGCAGCCCAGCTGAAGTGAGAAGCACATCCAGGCGCTCCTGCATGTTCTCAATGCCCCCCACCTACTGGGCCCACCTTGTCCCTGCACCCCAAGGCCACTCAGCCTCCCTGTCTGCTGGAGAGCCCCTTGGCCCTTCCCTCTTTACCTCCACCCCTCTCCCTGCCTCCCTTTTTTTTTATCCCATCCACTTCCAGTGTGCTGTAGCTTGCCCGCTGAGCAAGCAGCTGTAGTGACCAGCTTTCAGTGTCAGCAGCGGGCAGGCTGGGCTTAGTTTACATATTTCCTTTGGACACCTGGAGCTTCAGAGCCCTTTGAGTCACCAAATCCACATCAGCACTGGACCGCAGTCCATCAGTGTGGACTGCAGGCACAGCACCACACCAACAAGCCCAATTTTGGGGGTTCCCCCTTGGGTCTCTGTGTTCCTCCTACCTCATTCAGATCCACTGCTGCCATCTGTTTGCCTGCTGGGACTGGATCCCAGGAGTGAAGTTGGCCAAAGGGGACTTCTCTGCTTGTGCCCTATTCCACCATCCAAGGGGCCCCCACACTGGTATATGAGGGTCCTGAGTTCGGGGCATAGCATTGAGCCCACTGGGCTCTCTTTATTTTTCCAGATCTGAAAAGGGTGGGAAATTTATGGAGCGATTTAAAAAATCTGATTCCAGGTCTGACTCTATCAGGAACTAGTCATGTGACCTTGTCTGTTTCTCCTTATTTCTCTGGGCATCAGTTCCCCCATATGTCGAACAAGAAAGCAGGTCTAGATGATTTCCAGTGTCCCCTTTCATCTCTCAAACACTCTGATTCTGAAATATGTGTTTTCTGCCTGTAGTCATCAGGTCCCCTGCATTCATTTATTCATCCATGCAAAGAGCACGGATTGTCTACTAGATGTAAGGCACTGTGGGGGAGATAGTGATGAATGAGGCATGGGCCATGCCCAAAAGCAGTTGTCTGATTTATCTCAGAATCATAGTAACTCAAAGTCAGCCTAAGAGCACACATTTTTGCTTCACTCCTTATTTCTTTCTAAACTGCATTAAGAGCCAGCTCCCTCTTCTCATACTGTCTTCCCACAGTACTGGTAATGGAGGCAGGGAAGAAAGGGGGGTGAAAGTAAGAACATAACTTCCCTTAACCCTCCTCTTAGGCTAGAGGAGGGTTCAGAAGATAATTGACACTTGTTCCCCCCTTACCCCCCTTTCCGTTTATACCCAGATGGAGAGAGAGGGAGAATATGTGCAATTGACATGTGACCGAGGGAGGTGGGCCGCATCAATTCTGTGTCCCCAGTTCACCCAGAAAGGCCAGGATTTGCCTTCGGCTACCTGGAGCAGATCTGTAGGTCCCCAGCAGTGCCCAACAGCACAGCCAGGCCACCAAGGGGACCAAGCCCATGGGCACCTCCCCTCTGGTGGGCATTTCAGAGAATTTACTTCAGGAGCCTTGAACAAAAGAGAAATCACACTGAATAGATGAAGGTACCAAAATTTACATCAATCAGTGTTGTATGATGTATGTTGGACAGTAATATATATGTTTCAAAGTAATAATTTTGTATATATTTTAAATAAAGTATTATTGCTCTTTCTGTGTATAAGCCTATGTTTTTGCCAAAATTTGCACCAAGACCATACATATTAAGCCTGGAATCCAATGCCTAACACCCCTATGTCAGTTTGTTCAGACTCCTATAACAAAATGCCTTAGACTGGGTAATTTTTAAACAATAGAAACTTATTTCTTCCAGTTCTGGGGACTGGAAAGTTCAAGTTAAAGGTGTAGGTAGATTCAGTGTCCGCTGAGGGATCCTACTCTGCCTCATAGATGACGCCTTCTTGCTGTGTTCTCAGATGGCAGAAGGGGAAGGGGCACTCAAACCTCTTTTAAAGGGGCACTAATCTCATTCACCCATCTCTTAATACTATCCCAGAGGCCCCATCTCTTAATACTATCACATCGAGTATTAGTTTCCAACACAAGAACTTTGGGAGACACCACATTCAGACCACAGCAACCTCCTAATACGAAAGGCTTCAGGAAGTCTAGAGCCTGAAAGTTACAAGCAACGCTGGAAAGACTAAAGATAAGATGACGACTATGACAGCTGGGAGACTGTTGGAACAACGTAGGTCACAGCTGGGTGCCCGTGAGTTTTGTTTTGTTTTTTGTTATGGTGCTGCTAAATCACTCCAGCCAGTCTTCTTCTCCTTTTACTTGCAGTATGACACTTTCATAATCCTATCTCATTTCATAATCCTATCTCATTTCATAATCCTATCGGGCCTCACTTGAATTTTTAACAAACTTTGATTTCCTGAGATACCAAATAAATATCTGGTCCTAGTCTCCTTCCCTGAGACTCACAGGATAAGCACTGTTTTATTTTATTTTATTTTTTTTTTTTTGAGAAAGAGTCTCATTCTGTCACCCAGGCTGGAATACAGTGGCATGATCTTGGCTCACTGCAACCTCCGCCTCCCAGGTTCAAGTGATTCTCCTGCCTCAGCCTCCTGAGTAGCTGGGATTATATGCATGCGCCACCACAGCCAGCTAATTTTTGTATTTTTAGTAGAGACGAAATCACCATATTGACCAGGCTGGTCTTGAACTCCTGACCTCAGGTTATCTGCCCACCTCAGCCTCTCAAAGTGTTGAGATTACAGGTGAGAGCCATTGTGCCTGGCCCATTGTTTCATTATTATTTTTACATCTTCTCTTTAGCCCTGTGGTTCACCCAAACCCTGGACTCTGTGTGAAGTCTGGGCAAGTTCACAGCTAAATTGTCTCTGTGGGGCCTTGGGCAAGACACAGAAACTGGCTGACCATGATAATAACCCTGAAGCAGACACCCAGGATCTTTGGGAGATTCTTGCCTTAAAAATGAGACACAAGGAAGTCTCAGAAGTGTCCTCCTACTTGTAAGTACTACTACAAATCTGCCACCTTTTCATCTTGAATTGTAGTCCCCAGGGTCAGGGTGAAACAAAATCAAAGGTTCCCTAGGATGTTCTGATAACCAAGATGAGCAGCAAATACCTAGATCAATTCTTACTTTGCCATTCTGAGCCCTGGGTATATTTTCCTTGCACACAAGTCATGGGGCATGCTTTTTTTTTCTTTTTTGGACTAAAAAAATCCTCTATGTTAAGTATTTTCAACACTGCTCAGCTCCCTTGTTCATGTGAATTTGGGCCCCAGAGCCCTCACAGTGGCAGGAGTCCCCAGTGCTCAGTTTCTGCTCTTATAGAAACACAGGGGATGTGGAGCATGTGCTTGAAACAGGACAGTCTGAATCCAAGGGTACCTTGCTCTCTGTGGGATTCTGGGCAAGTGACACAGCATTTCTGTACCCCACCTGCCTCATATCTGAAATGGCAGAAATATTCCCAGCCCGAAGACCACAGTGAGGAATAAACAAAATCATGCATGTAAAGGATCTAGTCCACGGCTGAGCCCATGGTAGATGCTAAAGACATGGAGGCATTACAGTTCCACTGTCGACCTGCTGATAGCCAAGCTTTGTCCTTTCTGGGCAAGGGTAGAAAGTTCTTTAGTGGACAGCATCTGGGTGTCCTGTAATTCAATTCAATACTGACACTACCTACCTGCAGTTAGACTCAGATCCCACAGGTTGAGTGCTCAGTCCCACAAGACTACCACCCCCATTTCAGATGCCAATCACATGTAGGAGGTGGTCACCTATGCTTCTGATATATTATATCACAATATCACAGACTCATTCCTTCCTCATCCTCATTTGGTCTAGAGTTTCATGGTTCAGTTGACACTAACACCACATCCACAGAAGGCAGGAGTGTGAGTTTGGCTTTAAAGAGAAAAAGCCTACTTGCTGGCCTCAACTACACCACTTCACTCCATTCAAATCTCTCCCTAGGTTGTAAGCTGGCCTCACAGGGGTGCACAGAGGGATGAGATGATGTGTGATGCAACCCATGCCCTTGCCTGGAAAACACAGCCTCTGGTGCACATGGCTGCTCTCAGGGCTTAGTCTGAGGTCCCCAGAGCACTGTGGAGCCTGTCTGGGAATGCAGGGAGGCAAGGAGGATGAAGGTGGATTGGTTAAAAGCCTGCTGTCACAAAGACAGCCAACACTAAGGGGCCTGAGACAGACAGACAAATTTTGTTTCTCTCTGATTAATAGCCCAGGCAGCCAGGGGGGCGCTCTGCTCTGTGTGGTTGTTTAGGATGCAGTTTCCTTCCATCTAGTTTCCCACTGTCCCTGGGGCACTGTCCTTATGTTTATGGTCACACTGTGTTGCAGCTACCTCCATGTTCCAGCTCCTGAGGAGGGGAAAGAGGATGTGGGAGCATGTACAGGAAGACACCCACACTCGGCCCTTGTCTTCCATCACCAAGAGCAGAAGCTCCCGGCCACATCTAGCTGCAAAGGAGGCTGGGAATTGGAGTCCCTTATCAGGAGGTTGTCTGCAAACTGCAACCTACCGAGGAAGAAGATGGGAGCTGGGCACAGTGGCTCACATTTATAATGACAGCATTTTGGGAGTCCTAGGCAGGAGGATGGCTTAAGCCCAAGAGTTCTATTAAAGATCAGCCTAAGCAACATAGTGGAGACCCTGTCTCTCCAAAAAAAATAAAATAATACAAAAATTAGCCAAACGTGGTAGTCCACACCTGCAGTCCTAGCTACTCAGGAGGCTGAGGCAGGAGGATCACTTGAACCTAGGAGGTCAAGACTGCAGTGAGCCATGATGGCACCACTGTACTCCAGCCTGGGCAACAGAGTGAACCCCTATCTAAAAAAAAAAAAAAAAAAATAGAGAGGGGAAGGATATTTGGTGGACACCTGGCAGTGCCTGCAGAAACATCACACAAGTTTTAAAAACAGGAGTTCCTAGCAACACATACAAATTACAAAATTCACAAAGGAGCCTTTGTTTATTGTAAAGTAAGCATCTCTCTAACACATCAGCCAAAGATGGTTACCTCTCTGTTTGCCCAGCCCCAACATACAGACTCCTACATCAAAATACAGAAAACACACGTATTTATGCCTGTGGTAAAGAGAAAAAGGTGCCACATTTAAACTTTAGACACAAACGATGGGAGACATAAAAGTTAGACCAAAAATTCGGAGCCACAAGGGGATAAACTTTGCCAGAATAAGAAAAAATATGCCTTCTAAAACTATTTCAAACAATCCAAAAAGAGGGAATCCTTCCCAAATCATTTTATGAGACCAACATCATCCTGATACCAAAACCCGGCAGAGACCCAACGAGAAAAGAAAACTTCAGGCCAATATCCATGATGAACATAGATGCAAAAATCTTCAATAAAATATTGGCAAGCCGATTGCAACAGCAAATCAAAAAACTTATTCATCATGATCAAGTAGGATTCATCCCAGGGATGCAAGGCTGGTTCAACATACACAAGTCTATCAACGTAATTCACCACATAAACAGAACCAAAAACAAAAACCACATGATTATCTCAATTGACGCAGAGAAGGCATTTGACAAAATTCAACAGCCCTTTATGCTAAAAACCCTCAATAAACTCGGTATCGATGGAACGTATCTCAAAGTAATAAAAGCTATTTATGACAAACCAACAGCCAATATCATACTGAATGGGC